TCCATTGGGTTGTTTATTCTTGTTCTTGGAATTATTGACTGTTAGTTCTACGGTGGTCCTGGGAAAAGGGATCACGATTAATTTCCTTTTAACTCTTTGAACCACAGGATTTTGCAACAAAAAATGCCTGGTTGCGCAGAAATGTTTTTTCTATAAAATTCGACGAAGTAGTGTTGTATTAATTATTTTTCTTTCGTAGTAATTTCTTCTTAATATTTTCCATACCACTATGCTTCAACGAGTTAAATTAACGCGTATATAGGGGACACTCTTAAACCAATGCTTCTCTTTCTACTTTAAATGTTTTCTATGCTTCCTGAAGGTTTTTCTAGCGTATATTGTATCGTCTTAGTCGTGCAGTTTAATACTTTGGATGTAATTCGTAGTAGCGGTATGCAAGCGCTTGGTGAAACTGTGCGGTAGTTGGATGTTCAGCGAAGATATTACTATATTCGCCACGAGGTTCGCGGGAAATGCGTTTTCGATCGGGGACGTAGATACGATACCGTCGGTTTATCGCAGTGATAGAACTCATTTAACACGACGTACATAAAATAGGAAAGCCAATTAGATTCCGAGAGGGTTAATCGCCAGGCAGTAATCACGTAAACGGCGTACAAACGATTCTGCTCAAGGGTAAACGACGCCTCTCGACGTGCTTCATTTCGCCGAGAAACGCGCGCGCGCGCGCAGAAAACAAAAGGCCCGCGGTGGTTCGTGCCAAATTGTTTATTAGAAAGAAATACACACGCTCGAAAAATGTCAGACTAGGTCGTCGATGAAATAAATAAAACAAAACTTGTCAAAAATTCCGTTTTTAACACAGCTTTTATGGCAGTTTTACGATTTCTTACCGGAAGTATAATCCTTTCTTTTCACAAAAACTGGAACTGTTAACTAGAAACTAGACACCGAAACTATAAATCCTGAGCTTTCCGATAGTGGATTAAATCTTGTACCTTCTTAAATTTTGTAATAAAAATACTGAATATCGACTTAATAAAACAACGTTTCCAAACGTACCAGAAACGAGCACAGTGAAGTCATACGACTAACCAAAATATATATTTTTTTATTTAAAATATAATGAAGAATGATCATTGGAAACGTCGTGGAAATTCATAAACGTAATTTGTATACGCCATTCAAATGTATTGGTGGGTGTTTAATACCAATTAGTAATACGATGCTTTATTGACCAGAGAGTCAGGCATGAACCACCTTAAGGTCCCCGTTGGTGTTTCCATTGGATCGTCGAATATACATATCCATTGACGTATCGACGCCGTGAGCGGCATACCATCAATGACAGCCTCGTAAAAGTGTAAAAGACACGGTGTATATACATATACACTCGATATGGAAGAGACTGGAACCGAAGGATCACGGACGAAGAGGGTCCCGAACCGCTAAAGTCAGAAACGAAAGGAAACGAACGTAAAACGAAGGTTGTTCGGGTGTCCTTTGAATGAACCGCGTTGTTATACATACGTGGTCCAATGTTCGATACGGTGAACGAACGTTAATACGGATCGAACTTTCACACGCAATCACCGGTTCTAGTAACAGCGACCATGATTCATTGAACCGCGATCGTACCTTCACTGACAGTAATCCCGTCAGTGGTCTCGCGATACTCGATGCAGCCAGAGAAGTCTTGAACGGGATAACGATTGACCGATTGTCAGGAGCTATGGAAACTATTCGATTAATTAACACGAATAAATTCGATTATTAAAGACGACTTAAAGGCGTCTCAGACCTAAGAGATAGCACGTGACGTCTCAAAGACGCCTATTTTACGGCTATTTTAGGCCTAAGGCGCCTTCAAGCCGTCCTCGAGGCGTCATGTGCTATCTGGGTAGGTGGATCCTCTAAATATTTGAAACGGCGTAGAAACGGGCGGCGGTGTCGTTTTAAATACCGTTACTAGAAAGTTCCGTGTGTCGATTGCTCGCGAGAATGAATGGAAAGAAAAAAAAAAGAAAAAAAAACAGAAAAATGGTCCAGTGAAAGTGTCGCAGCAGTGTCTCTGGGATTCGGTGTGTTTGCATTTATGTAACGTGCGAACGACTCGACGCGTCGGAGACGGTGCGGTGATAGGCTTGGTTGTGTCGGCGCGTGTTTTACATATTGTTCGGGATTTCGAGACCTGTCGCGTGCGCGGGTTTCGTATTTCCAAGTGCCCCGTGATTTTCTGGGAGAGCAGCCGACGCGACGACGAAATTTCGAAAAACCCAAACCACAAGAAATTTGAAAACCGTTGGTATCAGTTTCTTTTTCTTTTTTTTTTTTCGTTTCAGAGGCCTTACGTAACCGCTGACAGGAGAAAAAAAAATATACTTCTTTTCTGTTTCCCTCCTCTTCGTCTTCTTCTACCATAAATTCAACGTTACGTCTACACGCCCGATCCCGTTCAACGTGCGCACAGATGGCTATCGCACGAAATTGCATTGCAGTGCGAGAGGCGTTAGTTAATTAACGAGAGGCAGCGCGAACACCATGACACTACACACTCGGACCGTTCTCCCGACGATGTTTTCGCAATTATACAATAGATCGGCCCGCGTGCCTCGATGCCACCTTTCTGTCACACTCTCGCGCAACAGATCCCCCCGATCGCAATCGATATTACATACAGACGTGCACGTCGGTGACACGCATTCGTGAGACGGAATAGAAATCTCGATGTAAATCGAACCGTGATTACAAACGATAGAAAAAAAAAGTGGTGGGGGAAGAATGATCGCGGCTCATTAGTTCGTGCAGCGAACTGCGCGTCTGACAGTAGACATAGATCTTCCGATGATTCTTGCCGTTCGAGACAGTATCGTTTATTTGCTGTAGTAGTAAGTATCTATATAGCAGTTGTTAGTATAGAGAAAAAACGATTTCTGTACTTTTTATCGATTGAATCCTGTACGTTATCTTCCAAAGCTTATCACGTCATTTTAACGTGATGTTTCGTACAAAATTATAGAGATCGAAATATTTAAACTGGTTTTCCCTAAAATTCGGACGATGCCTCATGACGAACGCAATTTGGGCAGTTTGTTCTGAAAATACGTTTGGTTCCTCGAAACATTCCACTGACAATCCGTTCACGCAGAGACAGTATTACGTTAAATTTAAATTTGTATTACGGTGAACGTGTTAATTATCATGCCATCGTTATTAATGGGGCAAGCAAAAGGATAAACACTGAGAATAATGAGAGGATCGTAATTTAGTTTTATAACGTATCCTGGAGTAAAACGTATGCAGACCGATCGAATTACATATTCGAAGTATGTAAACAGCCACTTATTGTTCATACAGAAGCAATTTAAACGCGATGTATGTATCCCAAGTACGGAAATCGCTTGAATCATTGTCGATCTATTTATACGGTTACGTGTGTCGTAGCCTGATGAACTATTCAGTCCCTACCCGCCGATAAACATGGAAACAGCATAGAATTTCGAACGATACGGGCAGCCCGAGCGATTCGATGCATCGAAGCGACAAAGTATCCCATAAATTATGGATGTAAACAATTTAGTCGATTACAGTTCTTTTTACGCAACCGCGGGGGATTACGTTGCGACGACGCGTTGGGTAATAAATTAGCATTCCTTCTTTCATCGAGACGAATATAAACCCGCCAAAGGGGGAACGCAACATACGCCTGAGGCTTGAAAGTTAATAACCGTGTTCGTTAATTTGTAAAGCACGACGTCGCGTTGTAAGAAGTCCGGGGCCACGTTTTGAATACGTTTCCTAGTTTCCCTGATTGATCTATCGCGACGCGTAAACCCACGAAGGAGAGACGAGCACGTGTAACGCGCGCATAAACACCCCGTTTCGTTCGAATTTCAGTCTTGATCGATTACGAAAAAAAAAAAAATCGGAGCCATTTATCGTATTGGAATTAAAATATTGTGAATCGGTGTAACGTGTTTAACCGTAGCTATGCTGCAACACGTAAAATGGAGTGGTTAAGAGTTATTTATAAGTTTATTATTGCAGAAAGCATTACTAAGAGTTGAATATCCCTGGTAAATGATACTGACCAGAACAGAGGAGAGGTTACGAATGGTATAAACTTATAAACAACGTGTCTCAACGATCTATGTTGTTACTAGAACAGTCGATCGTGCGAATTAATAGAATTTTTACGCGATCGTCAGTTCTAGCAAGAATACTTTTGTATATTAAACGAAAAAGAAAAAAAGACACGCTCATGAATGATACGGAAACGTGATTTCTTAATTATCTCGAGCAGCGACTCTGAAAGCATCGTACGCTTCAGTTGCGAAAATAGTTAAAGCATAAATTTGCATTCTAATTTAAATGTCAAGGTACTCGTTTCGTTGTCTTGCTGAAAAATCGAATACAACGCCAAGAGCACATTCATATCCACTGAGTTTCACGCGTGTCCAACGGTAACTGGTTTTTAAAATAACTTTGTATCGCTCGTACGCGTGAAGCTGTATAGAAAGATGGATATGCAGTTATTTAGCATGCACCTTTTTTTTGGCACGAGGAATTTTCAGTTACGCCGTTAAGAGTCTCTTTGCTTTTAGCTTCTATTCGCGGATTGTAATCGGACAAATTAGTTTTTAGCTTTGGCATTATTTAAATTTTTAAATAATAAATTCTGAAGGAACATTATTAAAAATCGCGAACTACGCGCTTAATGCAAGTCACTTTTATGTAGCGCTGCAATTTAAATTTTCCAACGAGATCAAACTGAAGTTACGTGCAGGTCTGTTATTTTGGAAGTAACGAAAAAAAAAATCGAAGAAAAACATGTTTCATGATTTATAAGAAATATTTCGGTTTGTCGAGAGAATGGAAGAAATTTAATTACAAACATTGCCAGTTAAGAATGGTAATTTAGTAAGACAATGGTAGAACGGTACGGCCCGTACGGGAAAAAGCGTCGGCGCGTACCGTCGGGCGAAAGTTTCCTCGGCTAGTAGCAGAAATTTTTCACTGTCGATTATAACGTAGGAAAGTTGTTTATATTGCGCCTTTCAATTAACACTGTCCCGATAATATGTCCACGACGTGCGTGGTCGAGGCTAGAGAGGGAAACTCGCGTAAAAACGATCCCCGTGTCGTATTTGAAACGTAGTTAACCTCAAACTAATCGAATAAACGATACTTCAGCCAGCGAACATGTATGCATAATTTCAAATATCGCTAAATAATTCACACAGATAATTCTTTTCGACGTGTACATGCGCTATTCTATGCTTAAAAGTGTCTTAATTCTGAACTTCTAATTAATCATTTCGTCGAATTGTATAACGGCAAAGAGGATTCTTATTAACCGTCTCTAATTTTGTTTCAAACATTATACGGTATCTTTTAGTTGTATATTAATAAATATATTGAACTTTACAGTGAATGAACAAGAGAAGATGCCTGGCCACCGTCAGCCTAACTCCCTAGAGGGGCTTAGTTTGGGACGCGTGTGTCAACAACTCGACGGGACGTGCCGACGGCTGCAAGTGCTTTCACAAGAATCGCCAGCCGCGCAAATTTTGGCTTACGCGAAACAGACCATCAGACCCTATTACATAAATGCTTTGCCAGCACGTTTACGGTCACAAGTCATAGAAGAAACATCAAAAATGTTGTATGGACCTGCATCGGATGGATCCACTTTAATTTCTGGTCCAGCTCCTCTGTATTTATTAGCTCTCCTTCTGGGACACGACATAAAGCAGCTAAAAGTGAATCTGTGTTGCTACTATGGATGTAGTCATCAGACATCTCTGTTGAAGTTGCTCGCATCGGAAGGAATTGGACTTGAATCTTTGGAGATGGCTCGTTCTGCATTGCTCAGATTAGATTGTAAGCTACTGAGGTCTGCTCTGCTGAATATGAAAAATCTAATAAGTCTGACTCTTCGGAATATAGCCAGCGATGCTGTACTTCAAGTAGTGGGCAAAGCTTGTCCAAAATTGGTACTTTTGGATGTTGCTTGTTCCAGACAAGTTACAGATGTTGGATTGAAGCAATTATTATTGCAAGTAGAACTCAGAGACAAAGTGCCTCATGCTACCATGCAAGAACCTACCAGTTGGTCTCGTTTAAAAATATTGCTTTCTAAATTGAAGATGAGGAATTCTAAATCGGAGAAAAAAGAGAAGCAAGGAGTATTATTGGAATATTATGAAAGCAAAAACTTTCTTTGTGATACACTCAGAGTACTTAACATAGCTAACACTGGGGTGACCAGTGCAGGAGTACTCTTGGCTTTGGTACATGTTCCAAGATTAGAATCCTTGGCAGAATACAGTCATATGGGAAGAGTTATGGAAATTATGAACAAAGAATACATTGGATTTAAAACACCATTTAGCCTAACTCAGGCAAGAAGTTGCAGAACCACACCAGTTCGTTTGGAACTTTTGGCACAAGCATGCCCAAAAGTGGAAAAATTACATATCTCAGAACCTCATCATCCCCCTGAAGCATTGAGATTATTTCCTTATGTTACTTCCTTAAGTGTACATAGTATTCCACCTCAGAGAGAATGGTTAGATGGTTTCTATGATTATCTGCGCACAAATGGCCAAAACTTACGAGAACTTAACCTCAGAATAACTCAAAACGAAAATCCGATTGAGGTGGACTTAAAAGAAATTTTCAGCAGCTGTTGCAATCTTAGAACATTTACAAATGATGGTTCTAACATAATTTGGACAGAAGGAGCTGATCCTCCTTCACTGAAATATTTGAAAAGAATCCAATTAGGACGTGTAGTGAGTGCTGTTGCCATTACCAAAATTCTTTCATTAGCACCAGAACTGACAGCACTACATGTTCATAGTTGTTTCGATCTCACAAATGAACACTTAGAAAAATTATTGAGTGCATCAACAAAACCAAGAAACCCACGAAAGTCTGATAAGTGTGACAATAGTTTAGTACAAAATCTAACATGCTTTTACATATACGAGGCTAGTAAAGTGTCTGCAAGTACTGTGCTAAATATGTTTCAAAACTGTAAAAGACTGCGAAAAATTGGAAATTTGGCAAATTGGGGCCTAGACTGTGAAGGTATTAGAATGCTAAGAACAACCCTGATCCGAGCGAATTTGGATGTAGACCTGTGTCCAGGAGCACATTGGTTTTGGAGTAATTGTATTCAGTAATGTACTTCTTTTTACATCTTCTGTGCTAATAGAAGCAGCTTTCCAAATGTTCAGTTTATGATGCAATTGGCTGCTGTTCAATTTGAATCTATTATACTTTAATAGACTGTAAAATTGTCAGTATTAAAAATTATCCTAGCAAACATAAGAAAATGTGTAATTGGAAGACGCAATGAAAAATTTATTATGTATGAAGCTAATGTAATAGAACAAACAGTAACTGGTCATCTTACTATTTTACAAAAATATCTGTTTATACTTGATTTTATAAAGCCAGAATCAATGTAATTATATAATTATACATTATGTTATAACTATAAAATGCTAAAATAATATGCAATAACAATGTACTGAATATAATATAAAAAGAAACAAGTATATTGTTATGCCATATTATAATAACATACTTTACATTAATGCTACTTTAACAAATCAAAGTACATAATAGAAAGCATTCTTGCAAGCTCTTCTATTACAACTACTACTCTCTATCCATCTAACTGAATGCCAGTAATTAAGGATACGTTTAAAGTGTAACGCTACTTGTTAATTGCCTATTAATAAGTATTACTTAAAGATTTGAAGCAACAAAAAAAATGTTAATTCGTATTGTAACGAATGATTAGCTGCAATGCAAATTTTGTATACATTCATATTGAATTGAAAATTACACGTCACGCGCTACGCATTTATACTGTGACTTCTGGTTGCAATAAAAATTCTTTCAAGACAACCCGTTGATTGTTTCATTACGATTTAAAGGTACACAATTTGAAAAAACTCACCTCAATTAACCCGTGGGATTGCAGCAAAAGATTGATTAGCTTCGTATCTGTTTGAAAAATCTTGTAGGTCATGTGTAATTGCTTTGCAGGTGGTTCGTCCGGTGGAGTGGCTAAGGCAGAACATCTGGAAAACAGTAAATAATTGTACAGTGTTAAAAAACACATCGCGGCGATATAACAATACAGATGTTATTTCTTGCACTTACTTGAAACGCAAAATAGGCGCTTTATTTCTGGTTGGTCCATTCAATAGCCATTCGTTGTGTGGTGGACTTTTGTCCTTCGTTGTGCTGCAAAAATACGTTACACAAACTTATTGTGTGAACGAAGAGCGCGAAATTTGAAAACCGTCAGCCTAGAGAGAAGTGCCACCTACCGATTTACAGTAGACATTCGCTTCAAGGGGCGTGGCTTTCGTGCAGATAACGGTGGCGCGGGAAGCGAATGTCTACTGTACAACGAAGAGGTTCCTTTCGAGACCGTAGCGCCATCAGGCACATATCGTGTGTCGATAAAAAAGAACTAGCAACAATTTCCCTTGCAATTTTTTACAGTGAAGCGAAGTAAACATTCACTTTTCATCGGTATTACGACATACACAAACACAGGCCCGTAATCCCAAGTTTGCGTTACGAAGATGTAAAGGAATGATAGAGGAAAAACGAGCGCATCGCGGAAATCCTAAAGTGAAACTAGCATCGGGTCCCTTGAAATTCGCGTGCTCGATACGGTGAGCTGAGTCTTAACTATTGCATCGCGCGAACACGTAGTTTTCACTCAATAATTGTTGCCGATGTGGTATTCAACATCTGCAGCTTCGTTAATTTCCTTCAATTAGTTCGAGCATGTGTAGCCGTTAAATAATTGGACAAACTTTACAAACATTTCGAATAGTAACTGATAGTATTTAAAATGGTATCCAGTTACGGATGGACATTGCGTCACGGAGAAAATATATTGAGTGTTTCTAATGAGACGATTCTTTGAACTTTCATCCAACACACCTTTTTGACGATTCTGATTTGTGCGGCTTATGTACAAGGGGCACCAAGGTCTCCTCGCTGCTGTTCGACAATTGCGACATCCCAGACAGACTGGAGGACGACATCAATTCCTTGGGTCGTTTCCCTTCCAGTTTTCGAGTGGAGTTTGTTTTCATTTGAGACAGCATGATTTATCTGAAAGAAAAATGTGCACAGGAGTGATAGAAAACTGTCATTTCGACGAAAAAAAAACTTTCCTAATTATGACAAAGTCGGATAACGTCAGTCTCGATCACTGACACGTAAAAATGATAACACGTGGGAGCATAACGAAGAGGTATTAGCCTTTGCCTGCTTTGTGTTCCCCTCATTGTTTCGATTCGGGCGTGTCACAGTCGATTTCGACAGAACTGTCGATGGCTGTGTAAGTGAAAATCAGCGAAACAAAAGTTTTAACACCGAGGTGCTCACATACAAAACAATGTCTAACTAGGTAAAGCAGAGACTGTTTCTTTTACGGTGTTTATAAGGTACGGATCGAATGTAATGGGCAACCATACAGGGCAAAGCATTATCCGATTAACTCAAGTACAGTATATGATGCTATTTTTGCGCCGACTTTTCTCAGTACGCATTCCGTTTGTGGCGGCACGTGAACGAGTACGCCGCCTCATATACGAGACATTGCCGGATCGACGTACCGATGGACGTGTCAATCCGCGCGTCGCGGATATATGTTTTTATAACCCCTTCCAACAGACTGAACGTTGGTTTACTTTTATTCATAAAATAGCACATGTCTATAGAAACTAAATATATATTAAGTCTTTAAATTAAATTATAAAACCTACTATTGCTAGTTTCCGTGTATTCTTAAATTAGCATCCTCGATCCAGTCAGGTATAACTTCTCGTTAAATTTTCAATCTCTCCGTTCATAGCTATCTGAATGGACGAACACGTAACATTACGTTCGAATATAAGACGCTTATAATAGGACCTGCGTTGACCTCAGAAATATTAAAACGCCTGCAATCGATTCGATCGATCTTTCCTCAAATGTAAAATACGACGGTCGTTTTCACAAATGTACTTCGTGCATTATTTAACACACAGCCGACCATCGTATTTTCTCTGAATCGTATTCACCCCATCTTGGATATTGAATTGTTTCCGATCGGTTCCCAGCAATACCCGCTGGCTGGACAGGTGGTACATAACACAATGGAAAATGTTTTTGCGTTTTCTGTAACCGAAGCATAATCAACTACTGTATGGTGGTGCTGTAATTCTGAGAAGTTTACCATCAAGTAACTTTCTGTTGACTGACTAATTCGAATGCCACCGTCCGACGAACGTATAAGTAATATAAATATAATCGTGTCTGTGTCTGAACGTTGCCGTTACGGAACCGTTATGCGTCTCTCTGTGCGGACAATATAATCAAAATTTAGGGGGGAAACACCCAATTCCCCGTGTTATTACGGTATCAGAAAGATTGTTTAACCCGGGGGAATAGGTTACATTTAAAAGTGTGTGAAATCGACATTTTTCATCCCACGTTTCCGATAATCGAGTTTGAATATTCCTCTGGAGATGCGTGCACGTCGAACGCGTATCAGTTCCCCCGTTCGGTGCGTAGACACAAAATGGCGCGCGACGAATTCGAGAATATCGTTCGAGCCGGGGACAAAACAATAGCGCTCGGGCGGACTGTGTAGAAACTGTCAAAATTCCTAGTCTCGTCGATTTCATGCAGTAACCCCAAAAAAAAAAAAACACGGAAACCGCAAGCGTCGAGAGCATCGCGAACGGAAGTGAAAACAAAAAATTCAACCCCCGAGTAACCGCGGTCGGAAGACGATGTGAGGGGAACGGACATGGTCGCGCAGCGATTGCCGGAAATGGAAATGCAACGAGAATGGACAAGCTTGCAATCACTCGAGAGCTCATTAGGAAGCGTGCCAGAATCGGTAACAAGTGTGACGCGCCGCCTCTGGATCGAACGCGATCCCCGACGTCCGTGGACATCGCGTCGTTACCGGTCGAGATCGTCTACGAAATTCTTTCCTATCTCACGTACAAAGAGCTACGCGCCGTCAGACGGGTATCAGTGTTCTTCGAGCGGGTCGCCAGCGACCCGTTTCTGTGGCGAACTTACGAGGTATATTTTAGGCAAACGTAGCTGAATGTTGACCACCGTCTGTAAATTGTAATTTGCGAGCAATCTGCGCCGTATGATAAACGTAGATTGAATATTTTCAAAGTTACACACAATTTTTCGTTTCGGATAACCGTTGTGTAGGCAAACAAAATATTCACTATACTTCTATTCGGACAGATTAGAGAAACATAGATAATTTTACTTTAATAGGTTTCTGAACCTGTTAGTAATATACAAAGTGCTGTTTTAGACAAGAACATAAACAATTGTGAAAGGAAATTTAGAAATGGGTACCTGGGTACCCGGTTGCCTAGATAAGGGTTAAAGCGAGTGACTTTCTCGCTTCGGGAGCTATCGTACCGTATGGAGGCAATGATGAAAATTGTAAAAAGGAAATACTAAAAACTGCAGAAAGCCTTCTGCAACAAAAAAAAAAAAAAGGAAAGACAAGGCAATCCATTGTTTCCATACATTAGTTGCTTTAGTCGAAACGAAAAAGTGTTTATAACTTTGAAAATATTAATTTTTCGACACACCTGTATCAGGACTATTTTTCATCATTTGGCAAGTATTATCTACCTTAGATATTATGAACCCTTTTTTCGTATCACCGAGTATAAGCAAGCTATATTGTCTGTCGTCGCAAATTGCTTACACGTGACAGGTTACAGCAGTGGTTTAACCTAAGCAATGGCCCGAATTCGACGGTATTCCCCTATACCGAAAACGAAACGATAGCCCCTTGTCCCGAGCTAACTAAATTGAGACGAATGTGGAACGTCGGGCAATCGAACAAATTCGTAGAATTCTTTGCGCGTTCCGATCCCCAGGTGACGAACAATGAACAGGACACGTTCGAGGTGCTAAACGAGCTGAAGAGGATGCCGCTATTGAAGAAGCTCACCATAAGCTTTCGACCGGACTGCGACGATATCCTGCGGCAGCTCTCGGTGGCGAACAAGAGCCTAGAGGAATTGCACGTCTCTAATTGCACAGGTTTAATTCTTGGCCGTCATCTGTCGCTTGCCCCTCTAATTAAGTTTCCATTTCCCGCGGTGAGTGGTATCGACAAAACGGACCCCGAGGGGCGGTTAGGGAGGCCTTTGGCACGGGTTCGAAAAACTCGACTTGACGGAATTCCTTTTACCTCTCTCGTTTCACTTCTCTGCCTCCGTTCCCCTGGCTCACTTTTCTCTCGGTACCTCGTCGGGTATGCGCCGTGTTCGCCGTCGCAGAAACGATGGAAATGATGAAAGAGAAAGATACCGACGGAAAAAATAGAATAACAGGGAGACGAAGGTAGGTAGGAAGGGGTTTTGGCTACGTGTCAAGCAAGAGAAAGAAAGGGGGCATTCTTTGTGTAGTTACCATTTCGTAATGGCGCGTCGGGGGTTTCTTTCGTCCGTTTCTTTTCGACTCTGTTCACAAGGTTTCTGTATACAGGGTGTAACAAAAATGTTGTCCGACCCGGAAATGGGGCACTCGGGGCTGCAAATCGCAGCACGTAGCCATCGCTAGCGCGGGAACTCGGCCGGCAAACTCGCGCTCCGATTGGTCGGGGTTTTTCGTTAATATCTCGGTAACGAGGCCTCAGATTACATTGTTGCTAAGGAAAAACTTGGTCCAATTCACCCCCCGAGTGCCCCATTTCCGGGTCGGACAACATTTTTGTTACACCCTGTATACATACGTCTCTTCTTGCCCGGCAACAAAGACCTCCCCACCCCTCGGCCACAAAGGATAGAAAATTCGTATCGATTCGCGTGGTGTGTGTTCTCGCGTATGATTCACGAACACGATGCACTGTTTGACCTGGCAACCGTATTTACCACGGGTTCAACGGTAATTAGTATTCCAAACATGTTTCATTGCATTCGGGCTGCGGTTCTCGCACAGGTGAAGGGGGAGGGGGGAGCACGTGGTATAGCCGAGGGGTCGAGGAAGTGGTCGCGAAGCAACGATTGTCCGTTTGATATCATGCGATGCATTCTTGAACCCGTCGTTTTCGACTCGAGTTCAAAAGCAATTATAACCGTCTCGAAATTCGTGGTCCTGCAGACACGATATCGTCGAACACAACCAGTGTGCTCCCTGATCGATACACCTCAAGGCGACAAATTCGCGGCGGTCGACAGCGTAAACGCAGGAAAACCATCCGTCGCGATTTGCATACCATTTCAATGACTAACGAAGTCGAACGCCCGAGAACACCGCCGCCCGTTTGCATACATCTCCATACAATCCGAGGGGGCCGATTGTCCATAGAAAATTTCCAAGTGAACATACACACGCGTAGTTTTGAAAACAATCCAGCTTTCTGTTCTCGTTCTCCACGAGTCCTCCCGAATGATACGTACCCTCGCGAGCAAACTCGGCTTCCGCTAGGGGAATAAGTGCCGTGAGAGTAAGGGCCTCCTACCATTTAGTATCGGGAACTATTGGAATTTATGTTAAATTAATGTTTGGTTTAACATTTATTTCCCGTGCGTGAAATAAATTTTACAAGTGGTAAAGGGCCCTTCCCCCACGACACTTTTTTCCCTAGCGGAAGAGGCTTCCTACCATTTGGTATCATAAACTATTGAATTGTATGCCAAATTAATATCTGGTTTAACATTTATTTCAGTGCTTGAAATAAATTTTACAAGTGGTAAAAGGCCCTTACTCCACGACACTTTTTTCCCTAGCGGAAGCTGAGTTTCCTCGATGGTGTACCATTAAATGGCACACGAATTCCAAAACTGTTTCTCTCCCCTTCTTACACACCCCCCCCCCTCCCCCCTCTAGGCTCGACGTCTAAATTGTATCTACGCTCGAGCAACCTATGCCACGTGCTGGAGAGGTGCCGGAGTTTGCACACGATCAATATACTCGGGAGCAGATTTCGCGGACAGAAATTCTATCGGCTGCTAGGTGAGATGGGCCCACGGCTGAGGACCGTTCACACGCTCGCGACCGGGCTGCAGTTCTGCACGTTCATCGAGCACGCCAGTCAGATCAGCGAGGACGATCGCGAGGCGATCCGGTCAAAGTGTATCGGGGCGAAAAATTGGGCGCCCTTGTACTACTTCGTCACGGAACAGGCGGACCGGGTGTGCACGGCCCTGATCAGCTATCTCCACAGCAACGTCGTGCTGATCGACACGAATCGATCGACCTGCAAACTCTCTACTGCGTAGGGGACGAGTCTTTGAGGAACAGAGGATCTTCTTCTATGGTCGAAGGTCCCTGAAGAACAGAGGATCTTCCTATGTACCTTGTAGTCCCCAATGAACAAGGGACTTCTTCTCTTATGCGTCTAGTCCACGAAGAACAAAGACAAAAATCGTGTGTGGGATCGCCGTTCCGTGGTTGCAACCATCCCGAACTGTATATAGGTGTATATATATACAGATATATATATAGATCGTAGAAAAATCATGTCACTTCAATTTCTTATACTCAGCCAAGAGTAGTCACTCTCTGTTAAGGCTCGATGCAACAATCTCGGGGGCACGATCTATGTGGGTCGATCCGTATGCAAATGCCGGCCGACATGAGAGGGGCGATGGAAGTAGACTTCCGTGAGCTTCGAACGAGTAAATCAAACGGGAAAGCACGTTAGGGCGTCTGATACGAGTGACGAACGAGTGCTGAACCCACCGTGCTAGGTGATCCGCTAATAATCACACGACTGGCTTAATTCGAGCCAATTACCCGGCAAATATACCATAAAAAAATGGAACGGGATGACAAGTAGGTGGGGACAACTCTCGAAACGAAAAAGCCTATTTTATTTTTTTTCTCTGTTTTGTCACACGCGCGAAGAGACCTCGTCGTCGCGGATTAAATCCGAAACGAGATCGGATCGTGTCGCGAATGCTCTCTGGGTCGAAGGGGGAAGCAGACGAAAAAAGAAAAAGAACAAGAAGAGGTTAGGTTTCGTGTTCTCGTGCAGTCTGATACCGGTCTATTCAATTAAGTGAATTGTTAGCGGCGCAAAGGAGGCCGATTAATGGGAGTTGTTAGCCTCTGTTTTCGACGGGTAATTAAAATCAAACTTCCACCACCACCCCCTCCCCTTTACCGAATAGGCGGGACACGCGATCGTCCGAACCGGCGAGAATCCTCGATCGATTCTCATTACGCAAACGGTAACAAGTTCCGGTGAAATATTCGCGGGTACACCGGTTCGCCGACCCGCCGTTTCCTGTTCTATGATCATTTACATATGGCTATACACCATGTATACAATCTCGGTAATGGTCACGGTTTATCGGACGAGCATACATACATGGATTTCCATATTACCCCGCGCCAAAACCACCGATAATATTTCATGTGCAATTTGCGAATCTTCCGGCGTGCAACAACGCTGTGGGTCCCGCAAGAATAGGGATTTCTTAACGATAACGAACATAAACCGTTACGAACCATCAGTTTATTACGACGCAACAACAAAACGAATGGAATATACTTTCAGACACGAAACCCGCAAAATAGAATGACTCTACGATCATTCTTCGCCATAATTCACTGAAATTTGTCATTTTCGGAAATTCAATTACAATTTCGCGCACACCGAGTATACGCGCGATCGCCGAACACACGTTCGATCACAGAGAACACCCAACGATTTGGCTGGCGTGGAGACTGCGGTGGATTTTAGCCTGCAGTGTTTCCGTCGTATTTAGACCGAATAAAAATCGTTTTGCGTAACGCCAAAATACCAAAAAGATGCAGTAAGCAGATTAAAATACCATTGCATTTTCCTACCGCTGCAGCCCTAAAGTTCCGTACTCTCACGTCCCGTCGTGTCCTCGTTGATTTCCTGCCTCCCTATTAATACCCCCCGTTTCCCATCCCCCGAATAGCCTCACGCCCCAATAAATTCGAGTTCACGAAGATTTCAGCGGCGCCTTTCGGCGGACAAAATAAACACACGGGGGATGCGGAAAGTGTAGGTCGAACGTGTGCACGGGGGTTCCAGGGGATCGATCGAGGGGCGTGACCCAAAAATTCCACCAAGAAAACTGAGGGCTGGACGACGCGTGTGTTTAAACGCCGCGGAAAAGAGCGTAATTAGTAGGTACGAGAGGCGTGCAATTAAACACAAGAAGGCGACGCGGCCGGTAACGACGCGCTACAAAATGGGACTCGTCGAGAGAACCAACCCAGGGGAAAATTTGTCTTTTCCGTTGACGGCTTGGAAAACTTGCGTCATTTCGTTGCGCCGGCAAATGAAACACTTTTGAGCAACGCATATATAGTGTTTTCTGGGGCGTACGACAGTCGCGATAACTGCGCGCGTCACCGACACTCTGTCGACGCACAGTCAACGAGGGAAGCGTTCCTGGAGTCTTAACTTGCCTAGTAAAAGTCATTTCACCGGAACACGAGACGGTAGAATTATTATGGTATTGTAAAGTTCTTTGTGCAACGTTCTCTGTGCATCAATGATCACGAAATAGAACACCTTCGTCGGTTATAATTACATGCACCGAAAATACTCGCGGATGGATTAACACGAACATCACTGGGACAGGCCACAGGTGCCCGTCGAGGATATCAACATTAATTCGACCAGTAAACGGCAGGCAGGCGATATTAAATCAACATTAGAGCGGATCGTCGGGCTCTGTAAATGCGGCCGGCCGACCGGAACGGCTGCTTCGCGATTCACAAGAGATCAAACGGTCGATCATTTCCGGCACGATAACGATATACTCCCTGTGAAAAGGCCCGGTGTGTTGTTACTGGATTAGAAGGCACGGCCCGATACAAAGAACGTCCGATCCGGCTACCAGCGAGTCTATCGTCGGTGTACGAGTTTCCATTATCCGAATCGATTGATTTTTTACAGTACAATCGGAACAGACGGGACAGGAAGGCTTTTACACTTTCGAAATTGGAGAATGATTGAGCTATTATAGGTTCTAAACGACGAAGACATTATCAGACACTCTAATCGACAAACGACGTCGATTTACGTTGATTTAATGTAAATTCTGTGCTTCTTTTATATTCAGTCATGCCTTGACTATAAGTAGATTCTACACGAACATCAGGATTCGTCCTTACGGTATGTAAATTTTTCTGTAAAGGAATTCTATGTCGGCGTGGTTTTCAATATGTTATTAACGCGAACAGTTTATGCAGAACTATTCGATCACACGCGTGAAATCACGCGGAAAAAAAGAAACTCTCCTTGACTAATCCCGAACGATTCTTCCCACGGAAACTCCATACTCGCCCCGATCGAATCTCATTTCACTAAATGTAGACTACTGTTCTAAACCGATCGCCCGGTACTTATCGACCGTAATCGCCGATAAAGTAATTACTGAAATCTACGCGAATAAAATAGAGAGAAACGTGCCCTCCTACCTTTTGCTCGTCTACGTCCGGTACACCTTTCGCGATCGGGGTTCACTTAACTATCGATCACCGCGTGAAACACACACGGACCCGCAACCGAAGAGAAACAGAGCCGACCGCTTTCGAGCTTGCGAAGTTATCTATGCAAATGGCGGCGGTGGATCTCCTGATCGTGGCGGCCGCCAACGATCACGGCAACCGAGCCACGATATAGACATAATCCTCCCACTCGTGAACGAGACCACCGCCAACAGGTATTTCCGATAGCTTCCTTCGTCGAATAACAAACCGCCCTGTAAACGTGAACCGTGTAAACGGTCTTTGCCGGACAGGTGCCCCTCCCCCTCCTTCGTTTGGACACCGACTGGGCCCGGATGTGACAAACGGTACCTGTCACGTTACATCATCGAATCGACGGATGCGTTCGTCGTCCAATGCTTCTCACGGTGAACAATTAACTGTACACCGTGACGATCCCGCTCGATCGAACACAGTTTCTGTCACATTTCCGATTTTGGGCGCACGACTCGTACCGACGTCTTCATCGTGTATGCTACCTCGATGTTAAGGCCCATTTATACACATCCGATCCGTGTCCCGGGTCCGAATTAGTTATCGTATTTTTATATCTAACAGTTTATACAGGGTATAACAAAAATGTTGGAGGACACTGAAATGGGAGACTCGTGAGGTGATTTGAAACAAATTTTTCCTTAGCGAAAATCTTATCCGAGTCTGTTAACGAGATATTAACGAAAAACACCGACCAATGAGAGCGCGAATCTGTCGATCGACTTCCCGCGGTAACGTTGGCTACCAATCGCAGCGCTTAACAGGGTTTTTCGTTAATATCTCGTTAACAAAGCCTCGGATAACATTTTTGCTAAGGAAAAACTTGTTTCAAATCACCTCACGAGTCTTTCATTTCCGGGTTCTCCGACATTTTTGTTACACTTTGTAATCCATCCGTGGCACCGACAGATCCCAATCGCCCGGATCGGACACGGAACGGACACGGATGTGTGTAAACGGGCCTTTAGACTCTCTATTCGAAGGCATCTATAAAAGTTACCAGGCGGACACTCGATGTTACGAGTGACTTTGTTTAATTGGAGGTACACCATTCAGGGGATAAGATAGTTCAGGTAGGTTGGGATAATAAATTAGATTATATTCCGTAAGGCTACAACCTTGAAGTCTTCCCGACGAACTAGCTCGATATTATATATACAGACTATAGTGCTTGACAGAATTCAACTGCTAAGATGCAGTTTTTATGAGCCCGTCGATACGAACAGTTATTCCCGTTCGGGCAAGGCCGTTTAATATTCTGCCGTTGGTGGAAAACGGTCAATTAAATGAAACAATATCAACGTTCGTACGATTACGCCGTTCTGATCGTCGCACGATAATTACCTCTCATTATCCACGCTTCACAGATCCAATTAGGCGGGCTGGGAGCGAGTCTGCGCCAAGATTAAAGAAAAAGGCAAATTAACTCGTCGTCGGATGAGGAGAGGGGGGAGGGGACTACTTGTTACCCGTTTAACGCTCGGATCAACTACCAAGAGATCATCGAGGTACTTAGTACCCTCTGCACTTTCGTTCTATTATTGAAATTCTGTTTACATCAGCCTAGGTGGAACTCGTTACGCCACTAAGCGCGTTCTTGCATGTCGTAATTAGGAGAAATCATGTTAACCGTGATGCTCGTCGCGATTAGATTATACAATGGCGGCCAATTTGTACGGTGCAATCAGTTATATGTGGAGAAGCCACACACGAGGATCATTTGTTAAAGGAAGAAATACGTCGAAAATAAAATATTAACAAAACTTTATCGTAGACTTCAGATTTATTTTTCCGCGAGAAATTCTCCCTTCGTCGATTGTTCCACCGATAAACGGGACGTCCTGGTGTAAAAGAAAATATCCACAGCGATTACTGTTATTCATTAAACCACGCTGTACCATGACCCGTTCTTTTTTCACCGAACATTGTTTCTGAACAAAAAAGAAAAAAAGGAACGCTGAAGGACGTGAGTTACACGTTCGCAGTATCGCCACGTTCCTGTGTACACACGTGTTACCCGATTCGGTCTATCTATACCATGCAAAAGGTCAACGTACCCACGGAGTTCTATCGACAAAAGAAAGCCAGGGTTCCCTTTAAATTTTAGGTGAAGTTTAACGAGGTCTCCGGTTGCCTCGGGGGTATTTGAAAGGAACTGAACCACAAAAGACGTTGGAAATTTTCAAGAACTGATTCTGTACCAACAGAAGAGTGAAGAACCTTCCAGGAAGACGAAAATATTCACGGAAGCCAACGTGATCGGCAATGCAAATTTAAAAGGGTAAAATTATTCGCGCATACGAACTTAGACCCTGAAGTATAATTTCGGATGTCGTGCGAACGATGATCGTGTGAAATCGTTCGGATTTCCCGCGATAATACCTATCAGGATAGAATTTGTGGCAATCCACGGATAAAGCCCGAATTGTAATCCAATTGCTAGGACGAGATCGTTTCGTGACGCTTCGCTTCAATTAGAATCGATTAACCGCACGAACGGATCGCGATGTCTTTCCGTGCGCCGTGCATTCGCTGAGAAGTCACTGTCAGCTGGTCGAGGGAAAGACAAGGAAAGAGAAAGAATTAATCGCGCCACGTAACACCGTTTCGCGAAGGGTTTCCTCACGTGATCCATGAAACAGTTTAACGTTACACGGTAATTCGTTTTACGAGGGGAGCGAACGAAAAATTCGGTACGCCGCCGTTTAAACCTCGTGAAACTCGAGGTTTCACGCCGCTCGAATCGTGTCCTATTCTTTTCTTTTTTTCTTTCTTTCTGTTCTGGTAACGCCGCCGACACGATTTTCTCTTTTAACCATCGGCCGTTCGCTAATCAAGATAGAAATCACGCCGCCACGTATATATGCTTCCATAATCATATATCTTGCGCAGCAGGTGAAAGACGCGATTATTGGTGCACCGCATATGTGCATCGGGTTTACCTCGACTAGACTCGTTATCGCTTGTGTCGAACTTTTTGTTTTTTATTCGATAAGCTGACCAATTAAGGGACGAGGGGGGCTATATGAAACTCAAGCTCGACCCCTTATGAAGGTAGCCGCATAAAGAACTTCAGCGGCAACAACTGAATACACAATTTTAAGCGATGCGGCAGAAAGTTTAGGAAAGTATCCTTGAAACAAACAGGTCAACCGACATCTTTATTTCGGTTTGGTTCAGCGGTTCCCAGTCTGATCGCTGATGATCATAGAAGGGATTGATCGTATTTATTCGAGGGTAAATAAATTCCTAAATAAAGATAATGTTGCAATTGTTAAGGGAAGTATCCTATTTAGGCAGTTCTGAATCGAAGATCGAGTGCAATTGAGAACCACTGCTGCATATAAACATACCATTGAGTAACACGTTAAAAAGCAATCGTACGCACATCAATCAAAAAGAAACTAAAATAATCGTTATGTTTGTCGCTTCTATTTGCAGACAGATTACACTGGGAACTGCCTTCGCTTTTACTGCATGATGCAGTCTGCATCTCGTGTATGTATACAAACACGTGTCCTGTTTATTCTAATTGCCGACATTTACCTCTGTGTATTTTCAAAACTCAGTCTCTCTATCACCTGCTCATCCCACTCTGTCCTTTGTTTTATGAAAGCACAACGCAAACGTGACCGTTTATCCGCAGAATCGTTGGAATCGCTACGAAGTTCGCGATAGGAATGTGTCGCCGTGTTTCTCTAGCATTTAAGAAAACTACTAGAAGAAACCCATGCGCCAAGACGAAAATAGAATGCGTAAAAATAAACGATGCTTTCGGATGAGGATATCGAATGCATGTAAGCGGGCATCGCTGTCGAACATTTAAACGTACCCCCCCACAAACGTTACGAAAACAAGGGGATAATCCTGCGATACGAAAATCTCCAAGATGGCCAAAAGTAAAAAATTAATTGAAAAATAACTATAATCCTTTTTTATTCGAACCGGGGTTTGATTAAATGTCATGAGTTGTATTGACAAAATATATTTTTAAGACGAAATGAAAATGTCATGTTGAAACAATTTGACGGAAACAAAAACAATTCAAAAAAAGAGAGAGACTGTAAAACCGATCAAACGAAACGGTCCATCGAGCCAGCTGAGAGGAAAAAGGATGATGCTTGTCACCCTGGCAGACGACGTGCTGCCCGCGTGCTCGATAAACATAGCGAAACCGTTGTATTTAAAGAAACTTTTTAATAGTACTCACCAGCATTCGAAAGAACAATTAATTTTTGTCGAACTTCCGTACAAGTAAAACATCACTATCAACATCACTTTAATTTATAGCGGGATAAGGAGAAAACTTCGACGAACCGCGGCCATACCGTATGGCAGCACGACGAAGACTGCCTCTATCAACTGAAAGACGAACTAATATAAGTACATACCGGAACAAAAGTTTTGACCATGTCGTGGAAAGCGGAGCCCCACCCGCCCCACCTTTCATTGTTTGTATAATACCCCGGTGCTTGCATGATAAAAGCTCCATTTGTCGTTTCGTCCTCAATTTATAATATAATTTGTCGTAATAGTAATCCGTTATTGATTTATTAACAAAACAATATAATCCTATATAATGTAGTCTATTATATATTTTTTAACTTTAGACTATATGTATATCAAAGTAGGTATACTAAGAAAAGTGCAGATTAAAATTATATACTGTGTATTTTTAATGTGTGTTAAAAACAATTACAATATAATAGTATTGCATAGATCAATGACTAGTCCAATAGATGTTATTTTATTCTTTTGACATATTTATCTTCTAATTCATGCAGTTTGGAGTCAAGTTCTGCCATGGAGTATGTCTGAAATTTGTTTGTTGTACATTGAAATTCAATGTAAAAATAAAATCGGGTTATCTTAGTAGTTTCTAAACAAATGATAATTTAACAAAAAAATTCTTTTTGTACTTACTCTTTTCCTAAGTGGTTTGAAAGTTCCTTTGAGACTATTAATGTCCTCTGACTTCTGTTAATAAGTAAAATTGAAGAAATAAATATTCTGAAATAAATTAGAATTGCTTTCATACTTATTCAAAAGATTACCCAAAAATCTTTATATTCTGGAGATATGCCTTCTAAGTATAGTATTCGATCCTCAATAGTTTTGAGTCGTTCATAGACATCTTTGGGAACAGGTCGATTTATGCCAAGAATTCTTTCAGTGGTTGATATTCTGTCATCCAATACAGATGAACAATAATTGTTTCTTTGATTCATTCCTGACATGGTTGCTTTACGTAATATAGATTGATCAACTGTTTGTGGTCCCCATGCATTAAGCACCCTGTGTACTAAAGACATTTACATTTAAAATCTTCAATAGCAATAAATATAATTACAAATGCTTGATCTTACCTTTAACATGACTTTTAGAATCTTTTCGTCTAATAAGAATAGCATCTACTCTTGCACAAGAATCTTCATTTTCATCATTTTCTTCCCTACATGCAAAGAATTCGTCTCTATTAATGTTTTTCAAACAAGTGCCACTACTTGTTAAATACATTTACATACTCGAAATTTTCGTTGTTTTCAGCAATAATCATGAACCAACCTGTGGTAACAGAATTCTTGTACATTCACGATATTTACTTGTTGCCGTTTTCTTTCGATAAAAGATGTTATTCTGTGATTTAGTTCTTCATTTGTAGCACAAATTTGGACAAGATTTGGATCTATTTCAACATTAGACACTTCTTCCTCCTCTCCCTCACCTTCGCATACATCCGTACTTCCTAATACAGTTTCTTCAGTCTGATCTGACAGTGTAATCACATCTTCAGATACTTGTAGATGTTTTATATCATGAGCTGGTAAAAATAAGTATTTCATAAATGTGTATTGAGATATGATTCATTAAAATACAGAAAGATGGTAGCATAAAATGAGTAAACGGTGACAACGCTGCAAACATTTTATCAACAATTTATTAACATTCGTATATACTCTAAATATATAAAATTTGTTTGCTCTTTTCGACATCTTATATATTACAATATATTATTTAAACAAAGTATATATATTATTTTACAAACAAATCAGTACATTTAAATTCTTTTTAAAACAAAAACATAATGACAAGGAACATTATTTACTGTTGGACCAGGCACATTCTTGGTTTTCTTTCCATTGTGTTTCTTGTGTATCATATATTTCTTTTTTCCAAATAGGCACTGAAGATTTCAGTGCATTGATAGCGTATTCAATAGCTTTTAATGATTCTTCTCTATGAGGAGATGAAACAGCAATTATTACACTTGCTTTTGATACTGGTACTTCTCCTAGTCGATGATATATAACAATGTGATGAACATTCCACTGAGAACGAATTTTAGCACAAATGTTATTCATCTCCTTTAAAGCCATTGGTTCGTATGCTTCATACTCTAATTTTAAAACCTAAGGAAGCATATATATGTAGGTAATACAATTATATTTAAAACTTTAAACATATACATACTTTTTTGTTGTCAAAATTATCCCGAGTAATACCAATAAAATTAGATATAGCTCCACAATTTGGAGCAATTGCTAAATTAATTATTTCTTTAAAATGTAATTCTTCCAAATTATCATGTTTATTCGTCTTTGTGTACAGATATTTCTGTGTTTTTATAACTGCAATACTTCATTCACATAACAGGTATAACAAACCTCCACTAAGTGGTGGAATAATAGCAATTTCGTCCTTTTCCGAGAGTATGAGCGTAGCGTCCGAAGGAACAAATTCTTCGTTCACTGCCAAAATCAATGTGTCACGTATACTATCCAAATTGAAGCGATTAATTACTTTGTCCACTAAATCAGCATACAATAACTTTCGCGGAAGAGTAATTCTACATTCCTTTTTTCCCGTTAGTTCCCTTGCTTTAGCAAAAAATAGTACCTTCACTTGCGTTTCAACGACGCTGTCATCCATTACGAAGAGCCTGCGTGCAATAATAATGTAAGTTCGTGAAATACTTGGACATCTTTATCACAAGCATCATAAAATGTAAGATTATCAAGATGCCGCGTTACATAACTATATCTGTTATTATCGGAAGATTACTCTTATTTTAACTGAAACTTGAAATAAGGTTATGTTTTCCACGGTTAACTCGCCTGGTCAAAGTAGCTTCTACTCGGATTGAGAAGGCTTTGAACTTTCTTGTTGCAAAGTAATACGTATCTATAAAAATCAAACGATTTAAATACTTTATACGCAAAATACCTTATACATTTTCTAATCTTATCAACTTTCAGAAATATGTGCCATGTATATAGAATATTTGATTACGTGTGGAATATGTAAAGCCATTCACTTTTACGCGGGTAGGATATAAAATAATCAAACATATAATTACAAGAGAAGGCACAATCTTTTTATTATGTAAATTACATTATTCCTTTACCTATATTTTGCAAAAAATAAAACTATACGCCTATATGAAATGGGTTCCCGAAAACTTGATAGGCACTATATGTATAGATTGACTTGAAGTACCTTGTGTGATATTAAGGTCAAACGAGAAATGAGGTCAACGTAGCAAGGAATCGTACCGTTCCGCTTGCATAATATTCGATGTGCGGAAGTTAATGTATTTGTTGAATTGCTATGCATAATTGTACTTTAAGAAAATATGTTCGAATATGGAACTCTTGAAATCGCTGTAGATTTTGGAAAATAAGCAGTCATATCGTTCATATATGTATCTACATAAGAGCTAAGAAATATGGGAATCTAATCTTATGGGACTAGAGGTGAGAAATTTCAAAAGATGCACGACCCATGATTTTATGACTAATGCATTAACGACAGTATGTCGATGTGTCAGTATAGTAGTGGCCTTGGATAAGCATTTAAATGTATGCATCGTGCGTGCAGCACAATATGCGCTCACGCTTAAGTATAGATGGATAGCCTGCTAACCCGGAGTCTAAAAGAGTGCAAGGGATCTAGCTCGTTCACTCGAGTCGCTGTGGGACAAGGACAATATGTTAAAGGAACTTATATTCCTTTAACGGTTAGGTAACGCTCCTGAGAACCTATGTATCACAATCGGGAATCGCATCGTACGATAAACCGGTTAGGAATAGTTATATATATATTTATTTAGAGACTACCTCATCCAAGCGGTAGATACATGACGCAATAAGGGAAAAAAATTCCAAGATCGTTACTCAATCACTGCTAGCTTTCAAAAAACGAACGTTTCTGTAAATTTTTGTACTTAAGTTTTTAGATATTCTTGTATTAGGGGACAAATGCTTTCGTGTAAGAAGGAATGCAAAGAATGTAAGCAGGACGTATGTTGTGCACCCGTTCTCGCATAGGTATACCTCGTACAGAAGTTTGAAACGAGTCTAATCGGCAGCGAAGCACAGTGCACGTCATACGGGAGAGAAGTGCAATCGAGCGAGGTCGTGCGGTGATTATATATCGAGCAACGTCGGTAGCTCCCATCGCTCGAAAAATTCATGACAGCATACGTGTTACATGCACCTATACTAATGGTTCAGAGAGACAACCGTGAGATTCCAACACAGAAACGGCAGTCGGTGCATTCGCGTTTCCAGTTTCAACGAACACGAGGTCCTGAGCAAGAAGTGACACGGGATGGATAAATCTGTTCATGCAGGTGAGACGAAGACCTCGATAGAATAGATGCAGTGTTCGCACGTGTTCGAACGTGGTTTATATTATCAGGTGAACGTTTAATAGCACTCAGGAGCCACCTCGTGGCTTAAAGACAACCTTTCGGGAGGGAAGAGCCCGCGCTATTCACAAATTGTCGCTGTTGTCGGTTTGACGACGAGTTGCATTCAACGTCTAACAAGTAACAGCATTGCGACACGCGCCTGTTGACTGAATGCTTCTTTGTGTATGTATATAATATCGTCCTCCGCTCCCAAGATTTGTACGACTGTTTGTAAAACGAAATAAATTTTTATCTACGCCATTACGTATCGCCTGACATCACTGCAACTTCGGACTTTACTCTACTCGATAGTGAATCTCTGTTACGGTTAAGAAGAAAAAATACGGTGTATTTTTGGAAAGTAGATTCTTATGTTGAAATTATACATTTCCCGTCGTGTACTTCTAATACATCAGTCACATGTGCGCGTAATCGATAATAGAAAACAATACGTGCACACTTCACCGATGACTACATTCCTTCTGTTGTAAAAAATTGTAAAAAAAAACATGTATTGTGCTGTAAGACACCGAGCTTGATCGTGCACATCGATAGGGCAATAATTACTGCCAATCTTCTTCGTTTACGTGAGCCTGCATTCTCTAACACGGGTAAACTATAATAAATTCGCTTAAACTACTAGCTCGAATTTTTTTTACCAATAATCACATTTCTAATCTCATGATTGATTACCAATTAAAAATGTTTACGTAATTTAAACTGTGCATACCTATACAAATATTCAGACAGGATAAGTATTTTGACGATTGTCACATACAAATAAAAATGGGTATGTTTCTTGCGGTGTCGAAAGATAATGAATCATGATTTCTCATCATTTACGGTTGACCGATACTGTGACCAATAGTACATTAAATTTCGGAGATAAACTAATGTCGCTTTTAGAACGGAACTTCGTCATGACAGTCGACAATTACTTATCTGTGTTAGAATAGTGAACACATAGATGTTATTAAACGAAGTTGCCATAACGCGTAGCCACACGATCTGATAAAAAGATAATCTAAATATCAGACTCGATACGCATCCCTATTATTCTACATTTCGAATAAACGCGAGAAAATCAAAGACATCTTCTATTCGTTTACACATGAGCCATGATGTCATACCGCAGTGCGCACCAACGACAACGAGATTAACGGCCTTGGCGGGGAAAATAGTTTTTACAGCGCACTCAGTTTTCTCTCGTACACGAATACTGTTCAACAGAGTAATAAACCATGCACGTTAACTTAAATTTTATACATAAATGTATTTATCGGTTATGCGCAGCATACGGCAGTAATTCACGAGCGTAACTGTGCGGTGGTTAGCAGTAAAATCAATCGATAGAGTAATTCGTCGATCCAACTTCGTTGAACAAAAGATTAATCGAAAGGTCCCTAATCGAAATGCGATCGTTGAATCGTTAATCGGAAAATACATATCTATTGAATCGGTTAGGTACGATTACGAAAGCGATGCAGCGATACCAATAAATTATATAATATAGAACGCCGAATTCTCGATCGCAAGGACAAAGTAGATCGATGAATAGAAATCTGCCTGAATCGTTAACCAACACCGTCTAATAAGCAAATCATTGATCAAATTCAAACATTCTCGTTCGAACACGAAAAATATAGACGAATCAATGGATTGAGGGTCCCAAGGTAAGGCACCCCTGGTGTAGGTCGAACGTTACGTCCCTGGTGCACGGGCCCGTGAGGGCTGGTGGGAAAGAGAGAGGTCGACTGGTGATCGGAACCAATAGAAGCGAGAGTAAGACAGAGTGAGCGAGAGAGGAACGCGAGGGCCGAGGCACACACCATCGAGTATCAACCAGCTGGTTGGCAAGGGAGCCGCGAGCAGTCGCCAGTGAGACGCGGCACCCCGCGAGACAGCGTCGTCCGTCGTTTGTTCGTCCGTACGTGCGTACGTACGTCCGTGGTCGGTCTCCCTTCCTTCCGCCAGAAACCAGCTATCGTGGTCGTGCGTACGTTCGTTCGTTCGATCGTTCGTTCGGTCCGTGAGTGGTGCGTCTCCTCCGCCTGCCTCTGCTTCTTTGGACGACACTTGCCCCCGGTCGCGGCCATCGTCTCCGTGTGTGTTGACCAAGTATACACACACACATATATATATATATATATATCTCCCTTCATCTCTCCCGTTTCACTCTTGTGTGTGCGCGAACGAACGAGCCAAGATGGCCGCCGACTCAGGAATGGAGACGTGTCCCTCCCCGGAGATTGCAGACTCCAGGAAGCGGCCGCTCGATTGCGACACGGAAAATGGCGCGACGAAGAGGTCACATTACGGATCAGGTATTTTGATCGTGCATTGTCAGTGGTTTTTCTTTACTATCCATGAAACATTCCTCTATGGTACCTTCATCCATCCGTTCCCCCCAATATACATATTCCACGTATATACATATTCACCGATAAAAAGGCATATACAGTGATTTTCTCTATCCCCCTTCCTACTCTGTCCTTTGACTCTGTCCTATATCTGTCCTCTGTTTCCACTTGTCTTGTTGGTGCTGCTGCTGTTGACACAGCGCTCGCTCGCTAGCTAGGCCGTTCCCTTTCGTTTCCCACTTCTCGAACGGCTGGCGAACGCGAACACGGTGCACCGCACAGCGGTTCGCGCATCCTCTCGTGCCACGTCTCCTTCTCTTTTCCTCTGCCTCTCGTGTCTCCCCTTTTGCCTCAATCTGTTCGTTATCTGGCCCAGTCTGATATCTGGTGACCGCGAACTTTATATACGCGGCACCTATAACGGTGTACTCTTTCTTTTATTCTTTTGATTTTTCTTTTGTTTTGTTTTAATACATTGACGTTCGTTTCGGTTCCTCGTCAACGTCATCATCGTCGTCGCCTTCCCTTCCCCCTCTTCCTCCTTGTCATCATCGTCATCGTCAACATCGTCCTCTTTCTCCTCTTCGTCTTCCTCGTTCCTCGCTGTCATCGTGGCGAACGTTGTCGTCCGTTGTTCCTGCGTGGGCGGTCGTGCCTTTGTGAACGTTGTTAATGGAGAATCGCTGCTGCGGCGGTGGCTGTCGATCACGCTCAGTGACTCTGCAATTTCGTCCCTATCGTTTAATCGGACTACTAGCATCGCGACAAGAAACGTCGGAAGTGGTTCTACATCGTGTTTGATCCGTACGCGTAACCTGTACGCTTTTCTCTGTCCGTCGTCGTTGTCACCGCATTATTTTGCTGTAGCCCAGTGCCACCATACTCGTCGCGAAAACTTTTATACAGAGGAGCGCGTTCGTTGCTACCCGTTTCGAGCAACGGTTTCTAGGATGTGGCGTATCGGTGAGTTGTCAGCCAGGCAAGCACACCGTTCCGCTACCGAGGTTGCGGGTCAAGGTCGACGCGAAGCGAGCGAGCGCACAGGGCTTCCATCTGTCAAACAGCTGTTTGCCCTCGATGCAGAAGAAACTTTGTGCAGTTCCGCGTTATGCTCGCGTTATCCTTCGTTCGTCAATTATACGGTGATCTATCCAGACCCGTGTCAGTGCTTTCGTTGCTCCTGATTTGCTCGGCTCGCGTGCCTCTCGCTGCGCGAGACTCCGCATGTTTTTCGATTTTCGTGAAGTGGTTTTCCCTTTTTGGAGCACTTGACGATGTAACTTCATACACGATGTATTTTTCATTGAATAAAAATGTGGAATGTTTGAACACACCTCTGCAGCCTTACTGTATACCTAATCTTTGTAGTGGTTTTCTGGCCCCTGTGTTAAGCAGTTTTCTTTTAACAAGTGAATCAGTAAAAGTATTTTGAGTGGTTCGGTTGAATGATAAAAAGTATCAAATGGGCTTAAATGCTATATTCCCACATACATTCTGTATCTTCTTGTGTAATAATTCCTGTGTACATTGATGCTTTATAGGAGGAGATGGAACATATCACCTCAAAGTATTGGTTCCTGGTGTGGCTGCAGGAGCTATTATTGGAAAAGGTGGGGATACAATTGCCCAATTACAGAAAGACACAGGAGCCAGAGTTAAAATGTCCAAGTCTCATGACTTTTATCCAGGTAAGTTGAAAAGACACATGTTATTGCTATGGAAGTTAAGTATAATATAGATCCTGTATCTTTCACAGGAACCACAGAACGGATATGCTTGATAACGGGAAGTTTGGAAGCTATAATGTCAGTCATGGACTTCATTATGGATAAAATCCGCGAGAAACCAGATCTCACGTCAAAAACAACAGTTGACTTTGAATCTGGTAAAACCACAGCAGAGAGAGACAAGCAGGTACACCCATACTCTATCTCTCTTTTTGCATACATGTATTTTATACACTCTTGTTGTGTTGATTGATTCCATTTAGCAATGACCTAGTTTTATTATGTGTTTTCCAGGTAAAAATTTTAGTGCCGAACAGCACTGCGGGAATGATAATAGGTAAAGCTGGAAATTATATTAAACAAATTAAAGAAGACTCCGGCTCTTATGTTCAAATAAGTCAAAAAGCAAAAGATGTATCTTTACAAGAAAGATGTATAACTGTAATTGGAGAAAAAGAGAATAATCGTAGCGCGTTAATGATGATATTAGCAAAAGTGGCAGACGATCCACAAAGTGGTGTATGCCCCAATGTTAGTTATGCTGATGTAAGTGGTCCTGTAGCTAATTACAATCCGACAGGCAGTCCTTATGCTCAAGCCCCGACAAGTACTCCCACGTATACTTCTACAGCCAGCATTAATACAGGTGAGATTCCAATAATTTAAAATAACTAATTCTTGTTTATCGAAAGACGAACGCGATTGCGCTAATAAGTAAACTTTATTATCACAACATCGGTAATTTTTGTTTACAGTAAGCCTTTTGAACGGTGCTGGTCTCAGTTTGAACTTGAACTTAGGAGCTGCAATAACAGCGGGTACAGCACCTGTGACAACGCAGTTGTTAGAACACATAAAGTTAAATTTACGGACGTCAGGTTTTTTGGAGCCTGCTGCAACCGAAATTTTGTCCGCTATCGCGACTCTTGCTAAGTATAACATCCTTGGAATGGGTATTGGGATGCCATCCAGTATGAGTTACCTTGGAAATCCCATGGATACTACCACAACGGCGAATGGCTCGAACAATAACGGCGGTGTATTTGGGCCAATTGGAACGGTTCCTGCTCTTGGATCTACGTCTCCTACACCACGCAATACACTTGACAGATATGAGTCGTTCGATCCGTTCAGACAAAACAACACAGCCGCCAGTGCTATTCATCTAAACAACAATTCGTTTGGCCTGGGCACTAACCAGTTATCACTTGTAAGTAAGAGTCCTACACAGGTAGACGCCAACAGCAAGGAGACCAAGAAAGTAGACATAGAAATTGCAGAGGTTATAGTGGGAGCTATTCTGGGACCCGGTGGTCGTGCCCTCATTGAGATTCAGCACCTAAGTGGCGCCAACATACAAATCTCTAAGAAGGGCACGTTCGCCCCTGGTACCAGGAACCGCATAGTGACTATCACGGGTTATCCTAACGCAATCGAGAGTGCTAAATATTTTATTGAGCAGAGGATCAGTGAAGAGGAGGCAAAACGAGCACGTCAGAATGCCCTCGCCAGTATGATCCATTGATTTCAAGTACAGCACTTTTGTTCATCCCCATTATTGAGCTCCGTTATTCACCTCTTCGCATCTTGAGATGATGCCCCGCGGTAGCTCTCTTCTCCCTTCTTTAAACACTCGTCCACCACCACCTACCACCCGTTGTCATCTATCGCTACATCACTATAGCGCTTGCATTCTCACATCACTGTTCATGCATCCATCATGGCTCGTCAACATTTATCTATCTTTTAAGATTATTACGATATATGAATATTATATGTTATATGATAACTACTACAATTGTTCTGTGATACACCACGTTACGGGGCTTTATCACGAATAACACACACGTACCACATCAGAGTCACATAATATATCTAGTTGTATGGTATAGCATATTGAAAGATGGCATGAGAAAAATCTATTGTTACATTAGATACAAAATGGCACAATTCGGCCATATAATATTGTTCTTGGAAGATTGAGTCGGAGATGTTAGAGATACGGATAATTGTTTCGTTTGTGAAAAATCAATTTTTTTTTTGTATAGGAGCATAATCTTACTCAGACACTCTCTTAGTTACAAGGTCATACAGAACTCACAATTGAATGACTTCAATCCGAGGAATTAGTACATCAATGAGTATCCCGTAAGTCTGTATACATTCATTTTTACAAAAAACAAAAAAGGATTCCGCGAATTATTGTATTGAACTGTTCCTTGAACTATGAAATGATTAGGCTGTTTAAGCGACCTTACTCTTGCTTAACGTACTATTCGAACGGGTTTCATAAGTACAGAGTAACACCTTGGCAAAACCAAAGATCTTACATATATGAAGCAGAAATAACTTGGCTGGAAGATGAATATACATATAAAGGGAGATCTATTCTACGTATAAACATATATTTATATATTTACAACGCTGGCTGGTCCAGCTAAATGAGTAACATAATACATTATTGCCAAGTTTTATTCTCAATCCCAAAGCCTTTATTTCTCAAAAAACTTCATCCATCTATATCTTATAGCGTTTAGATTAATCTGCACAGAAATATATTAGCATCGAGTCTCATTCTTTCTAACATATTGACCTAGAAATGTGGAGAACTTATTCTGCTAGGATGCTAGGCGAAAAACTACTCGATTCGTTTGAAGATGGTTCTCGAGTATAAAATGGTTTCGGTGCGGTTATAACACGATACTGTAGATACACTTCGTACATTAAAACATTTTGTCTAATTATTTTTAGTTTCAAGGTATATCAGTTGAATACAATTCGAATATAATACAGTTTTACATTCGTTGACGCTTTTGCCAAAACAAAAGCTGTGACATAGACCCCTGTTTTCGTCATTCCTTTATGTTATAGTTGAAAGAATACAGTTTTTATTATCACGTTGAAAAATTTTTATATATATATATATATATATATAAATATTATGTGTGTGTGTTTTCAATAGTTTAATCATCAAGTATCTTTCTTCCTAAAAACGTATTCGTTGTTCTGTTCTTTTTCCAAAATGTTTTACAACAGTTTTAGTAATATATAGATGTTGTTATTAATGGAACATAAGAGAAGAAATATTTGGTTCATCCGGTAAATATTTCTTTTCTGTGCAATGATTAAGTACCTTAAGTGGAGCACGAAGGTTGAGATTATTTTATTACACACATTTACTATTACATAAAGTCTATGCCATACATCTGGCTGGATGTCATGGCAAGGATGTCATACATCCTTGGGTTCTGTATGATGCTGCTTTATATGGGATTCTATTTAAGCAAACCAAATCTTTTGACAATTGCACTTTGACATGGAATCAAAGCGTTAGGATAGAGAATGGATTTTTAGATAGAAAACTTGTTTATGTTGGTAATCGTCGATACGGATACAGCTTTTACTCCATTGCTAGATGAGGAGGATTTACCATCTATTAATAACAGACGTTTCAAATCATTGTTTTTGTTGGGGGGTAGGTATTAGGAAGGTGTGATATAAGGGATAGGCGGTAATCAATAATGGGTTTAGTTAAAATAACTGAAAACGTTAGCTGTAGCGTCAAATGAAATATATAAGTGTACATGAGTACAATTCATAGCTGGAGGCGCTGGCTCACCGCTCTTTAAAATAATAACTTGTATATTTATAAATATCACATAACATGAGTAATAATAATATATTACACAGAGAGAGAGAAGAGTAAAAAATATAATATGTAGTTCTATATGTGTATATATATACACATGGAATGGAATGATATTATAAACATTGTTGACAAAATATTTTTACGTCCGTGAACGTAAAACACGGTTTTAAGTTTATTCATAAATTCTATGTGAACTATTATCAATTAAATTTCATTGTGTTGCCCAAATGCATTGAAAAGTCACAGATTATACGAGATATGCAGATGCAGGCTAATTAATTAGGTTGCAGTAGATAGATCTATTCGAGAATTTTTTTAATAGAATCATGTTATGAGTGTCGCATATTATAATTAACTTAATTTGTAAATTGATTTAATCTGATAGCCGTTGCGTTATTAATCCTAATGGCAGCATAATATTTCTCTACTTTAATTACGTACAATAATTTTGTCACCAATTACTCGAATCATCACATTAGGTCAAGATTATTTGCCATTGTCTTATCGCCACTTTCTTTCTATTTCTACTTTATAACTCGCAATCCTTGGCTGCCCTGATGGGGGCAGTTGTGTTCCCGATAATTTTGAGTAGGCCAATACTTACCAAAAGATTTTGTATCTCGTTCATTTGTTCATCGATTCCGTATTCATGTCGTTTGTTAAGCTCATGAATACTTCTACTAGTGTACCTAAAATCTAGTATTTCGCTAAATTTGTTCATTACGAGAGTCGATTGAAAAGAGGCAGAAAAACAAAGCATTATATTCATTTTCGCTGGAATTTTTACGTACATCGTGCTTGTCAACAAGTAACACATCAATCTTATTCAACAATTAGATTTTTATCTCATAACATTTTTCTTAAGTCTTTCCTTCTTTCTATCGCTTTATAAGCGACAAAAGAAAAATGTTCATGTTTCATTATATGTAAAGATTATATTTCATTCTCTCGATTACGATATCTAGTATATAATATACGGATTAACATTTTTGCAATCGCCTCGTTAGAACCACACAATGTTTCTAATATTATCATCTTCATCGTAGAATCATTCTCGCAATCTCTTCTTTTTTTTTTTGTTTTTTTCTTATTTCATTTCCTTTATAATCGAAAATCAAAGCCCATCGCATCCTTGAATTCAACTCGATCAGAGTATAAATATCGGATTGTAACCGTGCACATTGATAAACGAGCAAAAACGAAAAATAATGCTATATCTTGCAAATTGAAAAATCTCTATGCCAAACAACTTGTAGGTAGCACACGATAATTAGTACTAGGTTACGGGGTTTTCTTTCTCAGTAAACACATTCCTTTAGTAGAACAGATTATACGTATAAGACTAGCTGTGATGGAGTTGAGGGGGAGAGGGATATGTTCATCAGCTGCCAGTACGTGGAAAAAAAAAAAGAAAAAAAAAATACACAACAACAAAAAATTGCCACGACACATTTTTGACAGTATGTAAAATTCGAGAATTTATTTGCGCAGGAGAAGAAACTCGATGGCATACGATAGTTCGCCGACGAGGGAAAGCCAAGAAATGTGGATGCTTTTATTTTCGCATGATCCGACAGTGATATATGAAACGTGTGTTGAAAAAGAGAAAAATGTGCAAACGCAAAGAAACAAAAAAAAAGAGAAAAAGAAATGAAAAAATTTATAGCTTCGTGCGCGCTGATATCCATAACGATCCGATTGCCTATTCAGGACCGATTAAAAAAACATGGGGAAAACGCCTACGGTTCTCCTTGCGCTCGCGCGGTAACATCTAAGAAGAGTTTACCATGTGTGTACAAGCCATAGGAATCAGCCAGTCTAAACATAAGTATATTCCTTTAACAGTTTATACGTCTGTACGATATTACTTATCATAAATGAACAAAGCAAAGAAACAGTGTACGATACGTGTTGATAAGTGTTCGTCCGTTACAAAATGAATGGTCGATTAGACGAGTTGTTCCTTCTTTTGTTTTTTTGTTTTTTGTTTTGTCTTTTTTTTTTTTTTTTTTTTTTTTTTTTTTTTTTGGTTTATCGTTCAGACACTAGATCGCAGTCGCAAACAAGACAACCACCAATTTACAGTCTGTCCGTAGAAGTCTATGCGTTTCATATTTTTGAGTTCGATACTAATTGTCACGCGGTTGAACGATCTCCGTATTTTACACCGATAAAAGATTTAATAGAAAACACGAATAGAAACAGATTAAACATTTGAACAGAAGACACACGAAAATACCTCTCTGTGCAAGTGGCAAAAGCAGTATTGGTTGGCCAGTCAATGTTACCTACGAGTTGTTTTACACGAGAGGGTGCACTGTTAGACTAATTAAGCCAAGACACATTTAGAAAAAGGATCTTATTTCATACGACGCTTGTGTGTGTGTTCTTTATTTTTTTTTTATTTTTTTTTTTTTTTTTTTTTTTTTTTTTT